AAGTGGTGGCAGAAGAATTATCGTTGGGCCTACCTATTGTGATGAAGGCCCAATCAAAAGCCTTCGGTATGAGCTAGCTCTTTTAAGCTCATATATATATATATATATATATATATATATATATATATATATATAGAGAGGAAGATGCTCCTGCCTTATTTTGTAACACACCAAACATACAAAGGGTATCTGTAACTGTCAACTTAGTTCAAAAAGGTCAAGTGGGTGCTGAGTCGGTTTTCCTTACCAATACGTGATAAAAGCCTAAGTTTACCACAGCTTCATAATACACGTGAAGTATGGACAACCAAAAGTGATAAAAACAATAAATGGCAGAATACAATTTTTTGTTTATTAATAGCTTCCCTTTTACAACCCAAATATTTATGTCTGTAAAATTAGAAACGAAAAAGTAATTTACCTGTGTATAATGTGCCTGGTCACCAAAAATGCATGATTTTTAACCACTTAAAAAAAAATTACCTGTGGAAAGTGTGAACCTCTTTTTTTCTTTTAAATCGACATCACCCTATGCAAGGCAGAATAATGTATGGGAAGAGGAAAGAGTAATAAAGAGGGCAGTAGATAGTGATTGATATTGTATTTAAACTTTTGCAGATTAAAGTTGGCTGGACAGCATGGAACCAGAAAGGAGTTCTACAAGCGAGAAGTATAAGAAAAGAAACTGTTACCATAGAATTTACGGCTACATCTCGCCAGCTCAACTGTAAATTGATGGGATCTTGACGCCAGTCTAGTACTGCACTTAAATTCAAAAAGTTTTAGATACCATAGTAAAGAGCTTATCTGAACAATTACCATGAAAGTATTTATAAAAAAAGCATAGAGAGGCAACCTTATGGCAGTGAACAAGTGACTAAAACTGAGCCACCATACCAGGACTAATTATATTGCTGAATTTTTTATTTTTTTTAAGCATTTCATTGCAAGCGAGGCAGAAGTGCCACCGGTCTGTAGAGGGTTACATCGAGTGAATCTGAGAGAAAAAAAAAAGTGTGTATAGAGGGAATTAGGAAAGGATAAAAGATAAACAGGGTTCAAGACATCAGAAGATGGCGATTGACATTGCATTTAAATTTTTGAAGCAAGTCAACAGAAGGGTGTTCCACAGGTGGGAAGTGGGAGAAAAGAAGCTGTTGGAGTAGAAGTGGTGGTTACCTTCAACTATTTCAAAAGTAAAAGGGCGGAACGTAGATGCTAGTCTAGTAGCAAACTTAAGTTTATGTTAGTCAATGGACCATGGAAAAAAGCTTGACAGAGCAGTTGCCATGAAAATATTTCTAGAAAAGAGAGAAGCCACAACATGTCTGTGAGAAAGTGACAGAAGTTGAGATGCCAAGTGAGGATTGCTTACCTTGCAGATCTTTCTTTGGATTTTGTCAAGAACCTTGAGATGTAGAGCTGGGGCAGCAGACCAGATGTGGCAACAGTATTCAATGCATGGCCGAATGGCAGATTTGTAGAAATGCAAGATGGACTCTGACGAGAAAAACCTCCTGGCACAACACTGTAAGTCAACTTTCCTTGCAGCAGATGCAGCTATTGATTCAATGTAGTTGATTCTTCTTTGAATTTTATCAAGGAGCTCAAGGTAAATAGCCGGGACACTAGACCATATGTGACAGCAATATTCTAAGCATGGATGAATGGTAGACTTATAGATATGTAAGATAAGATTCTGGAGAGAAAAACTGTCTTGTACAACATGTTGAATCAACTTTCTCAGCAGCTGATCTAGCAATGGATCCAATATAGTCTTACCACTTTATGTCAGCTGTGAACGTCAGCCCAAGTAGGCACAACAAGCCATTCCCTTGGAGGTCAGCACCATATATTTTGTGTAACAAAATTGACCATAAAAACTCACACTATAGTCAAATATAAACAGTAGTAATAATGCTGTAATGTAAATTCTCAATCTAACTCAAGTCAAGCCAAATAATAATGTATTTATCTTGTGTCTTATTTTTATACTAGAGTGCACTCAATTCAAGGCTCAAGAACTACTCAAGATAGAGGGTTACTGTTAAAATGGTAATTTTGTATGAGATGGGTGTAACATGAAAAATGAACTAAAAGAGGTGACAGGAAATGAAGATTACGAGAATAAGGAGAACTGATAACGAGTGACCCTTGACTTGAAGAGATTAAAATTTTAATGTTCAGAAGCATTCACATGGGATTATTTTTCCACAAATGCTTGAAGAAAAAAAAATGCTGGCTCAGTAGATCTCTTTACATTGGGAATAGAATACAAAGGAAATGAAGGTGATTCAAAAAAACTGCAGAATACGCCTGCCACTACAAGACCATCTAAGGCTTATGGCCATGTCCTATTGAAAAATTATTATCTTAAAAAAAAAAAAAAAAAAAAATATCTTCCAAAATTCCTCCCAAAACAGTCTACCCCAGTGAGCGAAATAAAGGGTTCAGTTCAACAGTTCAGTTGAAAAAGGCCGGAGTGTACAACAGCTGAAATATAGTAATAAATATGGCGACAAAGATGAGGATAATAGTCCAAATAATGTAAATAGTATACATAATACCTCAGAAATATAGACAGATACTGAAAAATTAACAGTGGCAACAATATTTTTCACATGTAAATAATGGATGTAAGGAAGTGGTTGACAATTTCACCAATGTATTATTTTATATTGTTATTTTTAGATAAAAAAGTAAAAAAGAAAATACGAAAGTATGCATACAAAAAGAAGACTTTGTTGGTTAGAAGTGTGTGTGTGTGAGTGAGAGAGTAACTGAGAAAAGCAATTTTATACAGCTTGTTGCAGGCACTTCTTGTTAAGAAGTGCCTACAACAAGCTGTATAAAATTGCTTTCTCAGATCACTGGTTAAAAATGGATTCCAGCAAATGAAGGTTTTAGCAAGGACTGGTGCTACAGAATCACAAAGAACTGTACCAACTAACAGAAATTAGTTCATTCGAGGAATTTCAACAGCAGTAGCAACTAAAATTGATAGATGTAACTTGAAGAGAAAATAATAACATAATCAAGATGTTGACATTCCACACTACTTCAAACAAAAGGGGAAGAAGGAAATCTCCATCAGTACTAGAAAGAGTAATAATGGCTACTGGACTTGAGAAACCGGTTTTCATAAAAAAATTGTTTTAATAGAAAGGTTTAAATTTCAGCTGAAAGTAGCATTGGCTGCTTGGTCAATGAATGCTGAATTTTTCCTGATTAGTAATCTACTAATATTACCATTAGAAATAAGAACAGATAATTTTATCCCAAATCTATGTCCAGGGATTAAAGAAAAGCATAACTTAAACGACACTAGCTGTTCAGTCAATGAATGCTTATGAGGAAACAACTAATATCATTACCATTTTGATGACCGACATAATAGGTTCAAATTTAGTTATTTTGAGGAAATATTCAGTTTTATATAAATCTGACACTATATGGTTTGTTATGAATCTCATGGTATGATTTTGAAAGGTTTTAATTTTCTTGCACAGAGTCCTGATTGACAAACTTGATTTTATAAAAGGCAATATGAAAATTTTATGTATCTTACTTTTGATGCTATAAGGTATCCAATTAGATGTAAGTAATGCTTCATTATTCTCAAAGGCAGCCAACCGATATCTCTTGCTAATAACGACACATCAATACTTAAGCTATGACATAAGAGAAAAAGAAATAGATGTCACTTTTGCAGGCATAAAAAAATAACACCTTACAATTCAAAGAATGCCTTACTCCATTCAGTATGTTGGTAATGACGTGCTACTTCACAGAAAGTACACAGGCCATATGTACCTCTAGCTTTACACAAACAACTTTCATAATTTCCAGGATTTATCAAATACAGATTGAGAATTTTATAGGACTGAAAGTGTCTTGGTTTCCAGATATTTTTTTGATTTCAGAATACAGGCTATTTAATTTGTATACAGCATCTATAAAATCGGGCAGCATGGGAAAGGAAACCAAGCATAAACACAATATCCCTTTGCATTTCATAGCACAGCTTATACATATATCCTGAAGGTAGTTTTATATAATATACCCTGAAAAGAGTTTTATATCATCACCATCCTCTTGAGTTTTGTAATCATAGAAGGAATCCGAATGCAGAAGCCATATTGAATCTCCTCCAAAAGGGTCTATCAATGGCAGCCATCAGCAATTCTGGTATTTGTGCATTGTTTGACATTGTCCAACCAGTTTTTGCGTTGGCGTCCTCTCCTACGTTCACTTTCAATGGTACCTTGCAGGATGATCTTGCACAGGCTGTCATGCCTTGTATATAAAAGTTTTATGTAAAATTTAGTAAATTTTGCCTACATACAAACACAGGTAATAACACTAGTCATATAATGTTCACACGGATTTTTAAGTGGTGAAATTAAGATTTCACATAAAAATAATCTTTTGTACTTTCTGTACGTATACAGAAATAATCATTACTTACAAAAAATATATTTATAAATGCAACACCAAAATACTAATTTGATATCAGGTTTGAGAAACTGGAGGAAGAGGGTACATCATCGATGACATCATTGTGATTGTGAGAAGGAAAATTCAGTCAGCTATCAGTCACTACTAACAATGTCGGGTTTTGATTAAAATGTTACAATACATACAGGTAAAATATTTGTATAAAAAAAAAAAAACATGGATTCTGATTACAGTTAAATATAATGAAAACTGAAAAAACTCATCATTTTATTTGTAACGCTGGAACACAATAATCATGCTACAGGTAGACATGTTGCTTTCTGAAATTTTCCACTTGTGGCAAGTCATATCAGCACTTGAAAAACTTTCAGATTTTGCGGGGGGTTCAGATTTTGGAATTTCGAATAAAGGATACTCAACTTGTGCAAGAAAACGCTCAACTATAACATTAAATTCGTGTCAGATTTGGCCAAACATTAATATAGAAATATGCAGATGCATTCAACTGCTAGAATACTAAATAACAGTTACTACCTGGAGGCTTACAGCCATATCACATTGAAACACCGGTTCTCGTATGATCACCGAAGTTAAGCAATGTCAAGCCTGGTCAGTATCTAGATGGGTGACTGCTTGGGAATACCAGGTTCTGCAAGGTTGGTTGTGTGGGTAGTGTATTGGATAATGGCTTGGAGAACCAAATTCTAATACTTTTGTGATGTTGGACAGCTTCACTTGTCACTTTTGCTACCTCAAGCGAAAACTTGTCATCACTTCCAAAAACGTTTATTACATTCAAGACTTTGTAGATGCCGGTATTGGTAGTAATACCGTTGAATAATATTTGCACTAGTAATACTCATTCAAGTAAAAGAGTAGAGAGAGTGAACACATAGCAATAGTGGATAGACAAGAAGAGTGAACAATGATCGTATAATCATCACACTACTTCCTATTTATTCACTTCTTTTATGATCACATGATCTACTTAATAATGGAATCGACCATGTTACTCAATGGCAATCTACTTTCAAACCACAGTGTTGGCAACGGCACTTACTCTTATACAACAAATACTAGTTGGGTTTGTTATATTCACTTACACGCAAATGCCCCTGGGAAAAGGATGAATCTACTTCTCCCCCAGCTATGGGTTAAATAGTGCTTGTATCAGTAAATCATTATCTCTAAAAAAATCTTACAATATAAAAAGATTTTATGGCTTTAATTAACATGCAAAAAGTTGACAAGCATAAAAGACAAATCAATAACCAATGAAACGGCTGAGTATTGTTTTATCAACATGTACATAGATGAATTTGACTAGATTAAAAAAAAAATTATTTCAATGCTTTTCTCTCGTTTATGCACATGTTTAGCCAAAACAATGTCAACAAACCCAGTCCAATCAAGTACTAATGGATGAAATGTGTCACAAAAGCTTTTTCCAATTTGTCAAAACTGTTCTTGATATATAAAAATTTATATTGTTATCTCTTATATATGTGTCATCTACAGACAGACTGTTTCACTGTATCACAGCTGTGGCTAAACATGCACTTGCTTCAGTCCATGATCAAAATCCAACCAATTTATCATCAGTTGAAGACTCTTGCCCTTAGGCCATCAGCACATGCAGCGTAGAAAAGGAATTTTTAATGCATTATATACAAGATATAAGCATTAATGGCTACCAGAGTGCTCAATTCATAGCAAAGAGCTTTTAGCGTTAATTAGCAGCAGCCAACAAATTCCCTTTTTTGTTCATTCAAGATGTAGGTGATCATGGCTACCCGTGGTTTCCTTTTTTTCTTCATTATCTGTGAAAATTGCTAAGATTTATTTGGAAACATTGTTTTCCTGTTGCTTTCTCCATGGTTTTGAATTTAGAGTAATACTTTTCGTAGATTGGTTGTCATTCAAAACTAGAGTTCCTGGTATACTGCTATTTAGCCCAGAGATGGAATTGTGAAAATGGATTCAGGTCTTTTCAAAAGGCATCAGTGTAAAAGTAAACCCTATAAACTAGGCTGAAACTTTAACCTGGTTCTCCAGTTCTACCTTACACACTGACAACCGTTACTATCATAAAAAGCATTTACATTAAATACTCACAATTGTCGATCATTTCACATAACAGACAACTGCTGTACTAAGTAAGGATACATGTACTGATATCATGCCAAAGGTTGTCCTGTCAGACTGGATATCAAATTTTAGTGGACTTGGAGTGCAAAAGGATCCTTACTGGGGTTCGAGTCAAAACATTACTTTCCGCATCCTTCTTGGGACCAATATACCAAAGTTGGTTTGTCTACTTGTTGAAAATTAAGTTAGGTGTCTACACTAAGAGAAAGATTTTTTTGTGTGTAGTGTTAAATAGAACAATGCATATGGTCTGTATTGACCGCCTCTATTGACCTTCATAGGAAAATTTTACTGAATGCTTGTCAGTGAAAGAGAAGAGGTGAGAGAACTTCAAATCCTTTTGCTCATTACTATCTAGCAGTTTCAGGCTTGTGTGTTCACTAAGGGGCAAAAAATCCTCTCATTATTTGTTGATTTGGTAATTCAGGGGTGAATGAAAAGGCACTCAAATATACCACGCCATTCCTCTTTTTCCAGTGATGTGGCCAATGCCAATCTCTGGGACTTGTGACCACCAACTGACCTTATTAAATATGTTATATTTCAGAAATACATTTCTAACAACCTGTAGATTTTGATTTCTTTTTTTTTTTTTTCTTTCTTTCCCCTAATCTTATTTTCAACTACTTCACACCTACAATGTTACACTGACATAATAACTGAAAGGAACACACTGTTCCAATCAACATTATTTGAAGACTTCTACTAACTAGGACAGGTTAAACATATTAATACAACAGTTTATCATCCATGCACAAATGGCTTTGCTAAACACTTTTTTTTTTTTTTTAAATCAATTTCACCACAAGTAAGGCAGTAAAGCCACTAAGGTGTTACTGATTATGGATGAATTAGAAAACAAACATTACTAAGGAGTGAAAACAAAAGAAGAGTAATCAGAAGGACAGCAGATAACGATTGACATTGCATTTAAATTTTTGAGGATTAAATTCATCTAGAAAGCATGGAGCCAGAACACTTCCAAAAGTGAAAAAAAAACAAAACTATTAGCATAGAACTGATGTTCACATATAATCAACTCAACTGTAAATTGATGAAACCTCATTGCCAGTCTATTCATGAAGTCTAGGTACCATAGTGAAGAGCTCATCCAAACAATTACAATGAAAGTATTTATAGAAAAGGCAGAGGGAGGCAACTTTATGGTAGTCAGAAAATGACTGAAGCAAAGATGTCAAATCAGGACTAAATTAAATATGACACTTGCAATGTAACATCGGATTGGAAAAAACAATCTACCTTTTGTGTCCCTATCAATCAGGAATGCTATCAAAGAATACATATGATGCATTCTTGCAGAACTTGTATTTGGGACCTTTCTCACAATACCATGACAATGTGGGTGAAAATGATGCAATCTCAAAACAATCAGCTACATTTATCAATAAGCTAAATAATAAAGGGATGCACAGTGGAGTAATGGATAGTGACTCGGATTATTGTGCTAATACGCTTGGGAAAGGTATTAATACTCTTCTCCCTCCAGCTATGGGTAAATAGTAGGACAGACTGAGTTCTATAGCCTTGGTTGGCAACTGGTCTATCATAGAAAGAAATGGCAACCTAATGCAGGAAAAAAATCTGCCTCGTCAGTCATGTATTGAAAGATACATGATCGCCTAAGCATGTATCAAACATGGCACATAACTGACAAGCATATCATGCAACTCACAAATTTTCACCTATAAAAATGATTTTATCATGTATCTTTTGTATCATGCAAGTTCCTGTCTTGAGAGACCAAAATGCAATAGACTAACCTCTTTCTCTCTATCTCCCATCTTCTTGTTAAATACATTAAAAAAGTAAAAGAGACCGATAAAAGTATCGTTAGTAACACTATACACATTAAGTAAATGCATACAACCAAAAACAACTGAATGAGAAACAGCTAAAAACCTTACAAATGTAAACAATGGAAAAGATGTATATTCACTATGTTTGCATTTTATAATACGATACTAATATGCAAATACTACATTATTATTGGATAAAACATCAGTTTTATCAAAATCATGTTTATTTTAAATACAGCTGTACTTTTTGACTACAGTAAATGGATATACAATTTGGTCAATGGTATAGCCAGGGACAGTAGTACATATGCTAATTTTATATCTCATGTATGATATGACCCTCTTAAAATTAGCTTCAAAATTAAATCTTCAAAAGTCGCATGATAGGCAATTATATACGGTAATAAAAATGTTGGCTTTCCACACTACTTTAAACAAAAAGCTAGAAAGGAAACACCAAAAGAAATACTAGAAAGAGAGGTAACAGTCAATAGACTTTAGATACCTATTTTACAAGAAAGATTTGAGGAGTTTCAACCGACAACTGTTTGGCCAATGAATGTTGAATGTTTTCTTAAGGAAACAGTGCATCTCACCATTACCAGAGAGACACTATAAAACGAGTAACACCTGCAAACTGGATAGGTAAGCAACATACAAAATTGCTCTAAATAAAGAAAAACCCAAACATAAGCTGTCAGAGGCAGACAGTAAATTGTGGGGTGGACAGGTCTTACTAACATACTTTTTATTTTTTTTTTCAGTTATCACCTCCACCCCCATCATTTTATAACATTGATAGAATTTTTATATATATTTTAGTATGCACCATTATACATATTTTTTTAAATAGGGTGTGTTTTTTTTTTGTTTTTCTTTTTTAGTAGGTGCCCCCTGTGTGTGAGGTATTTTGGCGTATGTCGGAGTGAATGGTGACGGATAGATTCTTATGGTGAAGGAGTAAATTGTAAATGAATGAATGGATCGTGAATCTGATTAGCTAGGTCTAGTATCGACCAGCCTTCATCCACTCTCCACTTTTTTCGGCTTTGTGCCACAGTTACTGTATTTAATCAGTAATAAATCTTAAATAGTAAATTGTCCCAATCATGACAAGTCATGTACAATATTATTAAACAACCAACAATCAATTTTGTTTGATACATCTGTCATTATTCTTAACGAACATCAGTCGAGAAGTAAAAGTATTTTTTGTGAGACTATTCGATGTAGCCAAAAAGCACACTAACAAATCAGAGAGTGGTACAAACACTGAAATCAACTTTGATACAATTGGTGAAAAAAAAAAAAAAAAAAAAAAAGCAGATGCAAAGATTTAAATTTAAGAGGAAAAAAAATAGTAAATTTTTAAATGAGCCAATAAAAAAAAAAAAAAAAAAAAGGTCAAAATATACTTACGCCAATGAAAGGACAGACAGAATCAAAGTTACTTAAACATTGTTAGATTTGCACAAAATAAAGTGAACCCACTCAGAATAGTAGACTTGCAAAAATAATACAAATTTCTCTGATAAAACAACTAAGTCAAAGATAATGAAGTACAATCAAACCTAATGACTTAATGACTTAAAGACTAAAAGACGATCTTTTTAAAAGGTAAAAAAGACGACAGCTGACTAGTTTCTCAAGGAACTTTAAAGATGAATATCTTTTTAGGGACACTTAAATTACAATACATCAAGTGCTTTTTATTTTTACTGCTAATCACAATAAATCATTTATCGGGCCATCTATCATTTGACGGCATTTAGGTTCATCATTCAGGTTTCACTTCAATTAACAGGATAATTTCCTTTGGGGGGGAAAAAAAAAAAAAAAAAAAAAAAGAA